CTTTTATCGTCTCGAATTATCTTTGCGATCGCATTCGTCACATCGTTTCCACTCTTGGCTTTAAACGGCACGGCCCATGCGTGCTTACTCAGCACGTCGATAACGGTGAGAATGTAGTGGTAACCTCTGTTGAATCGCGTATATGGACGCATCTCGACCACATCCGCCTGGCACAGATCGTCGTATCCATGTACTATGACGTGTCTTCGCGAAAAATTTCTTCTCGCCGGAGCGTGCAATTCATTAACCAGCAACCGTTTCTCATTGCGAATAATTATTCGGCACGATGCACTTCTCGAATAGTTTTTTCAAATTCTTTTAGCACAACCTGTACATTATGTTGTAAGGCTGTAATATTCCTCTCGATTTCATTCAGACGATCTTTCAAACACGTATCGCTTGTTTGCTGCGTCAGCATCATCTACCGGTAGCGCTACTCGTCGAATTTTGCGCGACTTTGCGTCAAAGTCGGCTGCGACTATACAAAGAGCGTTACCGCGCACGTAATTTCTGAGCAATCCACGTCACTGATAGTACGATTCGCTTCCTCCTCCTCCAAGCGATAGTCCAAACTTGTTGATCGGCATTGCGATGTCGACTGAACAATGTGCGTAGAACGAGGTTAATTTATAATCAGACCGGCTTCGCGAAGCTCTTCGATAATCGACAAAATCTCGTTGTCGTGACCATTGTGACCGGCCTGGCGCGAGGCCTCGAGCAATCGCAGACGATCTACAATTTCGTTGGGATCGTCCCAATGGATATAATAGATCTTGTTATCGTTTAGTGTCATTGTACGCGGTAAATTCGCTCTTTTGTTAATTCCCGTTGCAACTTTTTTATCCACACCAATGGCGCTATTATGTTCTTATACTTGTATCCCTTACTACCCATTACTTGATTACTCGGGCTATGACCGCGTCTGTGAGCGTTTGTCGTCAGCAGAATGCTTCTGTAGGTGTGTACGTCGTCATCCGTACAGATACTTTCGTTGGGAAATTTCATGAAAAT